AGTACTGTTGGGGGCGGAGAAAACACTGGATCAGCCCGGGCGGGCTGTAGGCATGGCTTGCCGCGTCCGTGCATCGAGGGGCAGCACTCTGAGGAATGCAGGGCAAGCTGAGCGGCGGGCTTGCCAGTGCAAAACTCCTAGGGCTCAAGGACCTCAGCTGCTCAACAAAGAATGGCTGGGATCAGACCCTGAATGGGGAGGGGAGGCAGGGATGGGGAGACCCCATGAGGAAGGCTTCGTGGAAGAGGAGACCCTTGAGTGGGATTGTGTGAATGAAGAGAGGGCAGAGTCATTCTGGGCGAGGGAAGAACTATGGGGAGGGGAAGGTGTTTCCATGGAGCTGGAGTGCATTTGGGGTACATGGGGATTATGAGGGAGGGCTGTGGTCTCTATCTCCAGGTCACAGATAGCCGCATGTGTCCAGCAGACGCTTCTAGCCAGTCCCTCTCGGCTCTGGGTTTGGCCTCTGAGACCAGCAGGGTTGGGTAACAGAGTGGACAAGTACTGAAGGTGGACGCCAGAAGTCTGTGCTTAGACCCGCCATGACCATTTCCAGGATTGCTTTCATCCATTTAGGCTGAAAATCACAGCAAGCGATGGTCAGTCATGAAGTGGGAGCTTGGGCTTTGAAGAGGAAGGAATCAGGATTAGTTCCTGCCTCCAGGGAGCTCACAGTCTGACGTTGGCCACAGGAGACAGTGTGGGCCACTGCTCTGGGATGCTTTACTAGAAAGAGGGCTTGGCCAAATTGCTGGGGAGTAACTGATAGGTTTGTAGGGGATAGGACTTCTAAGCTGTGTCTTCATAGATGAGTAGGAGAATACAGGAGAATTCCCAGGAGAATACAGTGGAAATGGCAGGAGGCTGCATGCAGAAGAAGAAACGTGTGAAATGCGCAGGTGTGTTTGCGGCCCGCTGCAGGAACGTGGGTTCAGTCAATCACTTGACTGGTACTTAAGCTCCTGGGTGCCAGAGGCTGTGCTAGGCACTGGGGGGCAAGATAAAGCAGATACTCTCCACCCTAACGAAGTTTATACCATTTAGTTTCTCTGTACCTCACTCTCCCCATCTCTGGAGTGCTTTACACACCTCACAGAGCTTCACTGAGGAGCGAACAGGATTACAGGGTTAACATATTTGGGAGGACAGCCGGGCTCACACTGGCATATGGGAAATGCTCGTTAACTATGTGCAGTTAACTGAAATGGCCTCTTGCCTTGACTCCCTGAGAATAGCTCTTGGAGTTAAACTGTCATCAGCTCACTAGATAAGCAGCTTTGGTCAGTGAGTGAATACACAAATGCTGCATGCCCTACAGCTTGACACACACAGTACTTACCGAGTGCCTGTCAAGGAGATACTATCCATTATCTTCATTTTACAGAGGGGAAGCAAGGGCTTGAAGATGGGAAGAGACTGCCTAATATGCACAGGTAGTGAGAAAGAAGGCTCCAGATCCCGCCTCCAGGAAGCCTAACCTCAGAGCCCCAGCACTTGAATTGGCCGCATAGTGTTGCTCACGTCAAGAGGGGGTCCCGACGGAGGGCCTGATGGAAAGCATTTGAAAACTCTGTGGGACTTTACCCCCCACCCCCCAGCCAGCTGGGATGGCCCTCAGTGGTTATCTCCCAGGTCAGTCCGTTTGGGGCAGGGGAAGTGAGAAGGCGTCATTCCCTTCCTGGGAAGAGGGCACTTCTCGTCCTTCTAGTAGGAAACAGACCCTAAATTAAGAAATACCTTTTAAAAAGTTAGAAAGATGACTGTTAGCCTCTGTCCTGAGGAGGTGACGGACACTCAGCTTCCTCCAGGGCGCTAGAGCTGGAGAACAATCAGAGATAGATGGGCTTTGACAGAGTCGCTCTCGCTGGTCAGAGTAATTCACTGGTCAGAGTAATTCCAGGCCTCTGCACGGCTCTGGGCCAATACACATCAGGAAGGAGCTCTGTCTGCAGCTCCGGGCTGTGGCCCCGGGAAGGCAAGACTGTTATTTGAGAGTTTTTTTGGGTCTCAGTACAAGGCACGTGTTCACCCTCTCATCTGCAGGGGAGCTATAGGACTAGAAGCACAGTCTGGTTAACAAGCAGCCCTGCCCGTCTCGTGCTGGCCACTCCTTGCTGTCAGTTTGCGGTCTTGGCCAAGTTACCTTGTTTCCTCATGTCTGAAGAGGGGACAATGAGAAAAGCTATGCAATGATTAGCAGAATGCCCATTGCATTAGGTGCTCAGTAAATATTAACTATTGTTCTCTGATGGGTGGAAGAAAAATTGTTGATTGTCAGACTGTCTGACTTTTTCTGGTGTGGATAGGAGGGATAATCGATGAGCTCTTCACACGTCAGAGTTGGAAATGGAAGTCCGATGCGTGTTTAGGGATTCTACATTTGCTTTATTTATTCTGTATGTTAAAACCATTTTCTCTAGACAGTATCAATTATTGTTATTAGCATTTATTTGAACTGATACAGTTATTGAGCACCTACTATGTGCCACATAGTGCAAGGGACACAGGATGACAAAGGCTTTGTCCTTAATTCCAGGAAGCTTCTGGTCCAGGGTGGGAAGCAGATGTGTCCTCTTTTTTGCTCCTTCCCCAGTCGTGGTGGATAAACTGCTCTGTGCTGAATGTCCCCGTTTAAACAGGGACCACCTGGATTCTAGGACGCAAGGGGACTTGTGAGATCGGAGTTTTGGGGATGCTGACTCCTATACTTCTGTCTAGCTGTGTGCACCTCCCCTGTGTTGTCATTATTGGTTCCCATGTCCTTGTCCGGGACCCCCACAGCACTAACCACGATCTACCGTTGTTTTTTATTTATAGATTCATAACCTGGGTTAGGATGCCTTCTGCCTCTGAGGAGGGGTCTGTTGCAGATGGCTGGGGCTGACAACAGCCAGCCAGCAAGCCCCCAGGCTGGGGAAGTTGGATGACAATCCCACTAATACACAAATGCATAAAGCTTTACAAATACACCAGGTTTTGGAGTGTGCAAAGCATTTTAGGATTTACTTCATTTAATCTGCACAGAAGGAGGTATCATGCTTTAAGCTTGAGGAACCTGAACAGGAGAGTTGGGTTCCGACCCACAACCAGAGCCCCAGCTCACCCAGGTTCTCAAAGTTGTCTGATAAGAATCACGAATCATGGGGTACCTGTTACATATGTAGAAAAAAAACCCTCTCTTCCAGTTCTAATCCTAAAGGTCGGGATCGGGACTCAAGAAGCAGTAGTTTAACAAACACCCTTGACGATACTTATCTATCTTCGGGCAAGTGCAACAAACACATTCACTGATTTATTTACTTAGCTAAGGCTTATGGGGTCCCAGCTATGGTCTCCACTGTGGAGAGAGCATGATGAACACGACAGTCCCCAGCCTGGAAGAGCAACAGTCGGCTAAGCAGATAGATTGTCCAGGTCCCTGGATCTGCCACCCAGGTCTGTCCCAGGCAATGTCCCTTCCTGCTGGTGGGACTGGCTTCTGGCTGGATGCAGGTAGGAGCCCACTGGGCTTCCTTCCACAGTCTAACACTTGCTCAGGGCTGAGCCTGTGGTTCTTTGGGGCCGGAGGCATCCTGTGAAAGGGACTGAGGCGTGCGGGGTCCCCAGTGAGTGTCTCAGTAAATGCTGATCAACTGCCGATGCACTTGTTGGCTGGAACAGGACCTGGGGGTGGAGGGGGGCCCTCCTGTGTGAAGGAAAGCAGTTCAGCCTGACGGGCAGAAATTTCCATTTCTTTTTCTTTTTTAAGATTTTATTTATTTATTTTTAGAGAGGGAAGGGAGGAAGAAAGAGAGAGAGAGAGAAACATCAATGTGTGGTTGCTGGGGGCCGTGGCCTGCAACCCAGGAATGTACCCTGACTGGGAATCGAACCTGCGATGCTTTGGTTCGCAGCCCACACTCAATCTACTGAGCTACGCCAGCTAGGGGAATTTCCATTTCTTTAACAGTATTTCCAGCACAGACCTGCCTTTGCACCTGGAAGGGAGGCCAGGCAAGGATCCCTCTTGAGCGGGTGAGGAAAGCAGGGCCCAGAGAGGCAGGAGTGAGAGGTCCTGAGCTAAAGCTGGGTCTCCTGCCAGGCCAGGGGGGCAGGGGCTGTGGGCACGGACATCACGGGCAACGCCTTCCCCTAAAATCACTGAGGTGATGTGCGCCTGTGAAGGGAAGAGCCTGGTGCCAGCACCAGGACCCCCTCATGGGGGCCAGCATCACCTGTCAGCTATGCTCTGGGTTCCAGCTTCTGCTGACCACTTCCCTTTTCTGAGGAAGAAGTCCGGCCTTCATGAGGCAATCCTGGTCACTCTGGACCTCCATCTTCCCCAGGAGATGACTTCCATATTTGAAGCAGGACCCCATGGGCTCTGGTCTGGAGCTCACCTTTGTTCCCGCAACTCTGAGTACCCAGTGTTCTCCCCGGGGCCAGCCCTCCAGATGGACCCTGCCAGGTAACGCTGGGGGTGCTCCAGGAGGCCATTGTGGACAGTTTCCAGGAAGGCCACGATGGCCAGGCTAGGCTAAAACATCCCAGGCCAGTGTGGGTCCACACCTTCTCTGGTAGCCACTGGGGTCCACCGCCACCCCCTACATGCTCCTTGTTGAGCCAGACATACATTTGGAGGCTGGAGGGACAGGAAAGGGCTGGGATCCCAGGTGAGGGTAGAGTAAGAAAGCCACAGCTCCCACCTGGGTGCAAGCTGCAAGCCTGCGCCATTTCAGAACTAAGACCTAGAAGGGCGCGATGCCCACACCTGACAAACTAGACGAGGCCCGGACCTTCAGGCTCCTCCGGGGGCAGTGTGGGTCTCCTCCCTACCAGGCTTAGGCCCCGCCCGCCCCGAGTAGGGGGTCTCTCTGGGGGACATCTCCCAGAATGGGGCGGGGGGGGGGGCGTGTATATGATCTGAAAGCTTCCCCCAAGGAGGAAGGGCGGGGCTGGGCGGCTAGGAAGGCCCAGGATATAAGGACTGAGGCGCCGCTCTCAGGCTCGGCCAGCCCACCATGCACGCCCACCGGCTCCACTTCCTCCTTCTGCATATCTGGTGGGCCCTCCTCGAGGCGGGCGCCGCTACAGTCGCCCCCGCGCTCCTACGCGCGAGAGGGCAGCCCTCGTCGCCGTCCCCTCTGGCGTATATGCTGAGCCTCTACCGCGACCCGCCCCGGGCGGACATCATCCGCAGCATGCAGGCGCAAGGTAGGCTGCCCACACCGCTGAGCTCCCAGGGCGCCTCGGGGCCCATCCTACCTCCGGCCCCTGGAAGGCGCTGGAGCCGGCTGGGGGCTACGGGTCCGTGCCGGGGACGCCGCGTTTGAGGACGCGCCCACGAGCTCGGAGGGCCCGGAGGGGTCTGGGTCTGGGGGTGTCTCGACGCCGGCATTGGTTCGGCTGCAGGGTTGGCGGGTGACGGGGTCGCGGCTCTCCGGGTGTGTCACGGACTGAGACCTCTGGGTCCCGGGTCGTGCGGGTAAAGCGCGGTACTGTAAGGGGGAGCCAGATTGTGCCACTTTCCGTCTGTGCGGGTTTGCTAGATCACGTGATTAGGGGCGCGTCGGTGTGCGCACCTGTAGACTGGGATTAACAGAACCTCCCTCATAAGTCTGTTGTGACGAAGCACAAAAAAACTCGTAAATCTAGGTGACAACGCACAAAAAACCTCGTAAGGACAAAAAAAGGTCGTTAATATTGCTACAGTAACTTTATCGCCTTTTTTTATTTTTCGCGAATGAGGGTGGCCAGGTATCCGGGTCTGGCGCTGAGTGTGTCTCAGGAGGAGAGCAGGCTTCCAAACCGGGTCTCAAGCGTGGAACACCCGGCATTAGGGTTCAGAGAGCTGGATTGGAGATGGGACACCCCAGAGTCGAGAACTGGGGCGAGTTTGGGTACTCGAGGCCCGGCTGGGGAGGTGTCAGTGTCCCGGGTTACACCGGGCTCAGGGACAGATTTAGAGGGGGCTGGGGGAGTCAGTGACCGTGCTGACCTGGGAGTTTCGCCCTCCGGAACGGGAGAGCGTGTCTGGGCGCCGGGCTCGGCGGGCATGGGGGTGTCGCGCAGAGGGAGCCTTTCCCGCGAGGCCCCCTTACCCCGCGCAATCCACATCCTGGACTGGTGAGGGGAGCCCTGCCGCCCCGCGCCTCCCGCCGCGGCCGGGGCTAGACGGCCCCTCCCCGGGGCCCGGGCGAAATCCACATCCGATAATCTGATCTGACTGCCACCCGCTGGCCCTTGGGGTCTGTGGGTGGGGCTTCCTAGGTCCCTGGCCTGCCTAGACTCGGGTCAGACAGCTTGTGACCCTCTCCGTGAGGGTCATCCGGGGACCAGCCAGACTAGGGACACCCCGGGGAGCGGGGCAATTTGAAAGTGCTTGTCTCCTCCACCAGAAAGCGGCGGGGGTGGGGGAGGGGCGTTGGGGAGGGGGCGTCTGTGCAAAGCGGGTCGCACTTCTCCAGTTCCTTTTCCCGGAGAGTTCCCCAAGGTGAGTCAGTCAGTCTGGGACTGGAGAACTGGGCTTCGGCCCGCCAAACCCTACTTCCCAATTCCCTTTGTGCCCCTGAAACTTCAGCTGATTTTTCTAGTTTCCTCCTTTGTAAAACAGGGACCTGGCTTTCTTTCTGCCTCATTTGTGTGTGTATGGAAAAACATATACATAACAAAAATCGACCATTTTACCCATTTTCAAGTGTCCAGTGATATCAAGCGCATTCACACTTTTGTGAATGGGCTTCACTTTGTGAGAGCAGCCAGAAGAGCCAGGCTGGAGGGAGACGGAAACGGATGGACTGACGGACAATGCGACCCGAGCAGCTCCTTTCTCTTCTGGGCTGACTGGAAGGCTGCATGCACCAGGGTGGGGTGCACAGGTGCCCTCCCACCTACGTCTGTCACCGTTTGACCACTTCCACCTTGGACGGTCTGCTCCTCACCTGCAGATGGGGCTGCAGGTGGAGGGTTAAAGGAGACAGTGTTTATAGAACACTTGCCATGAGGGCAGCCACAACCACATTTATTGTTTAAGTGGGAGATACAGTTTCCCCCCCTCCCTGGGGAGAGCTTTCTTAGCTTTGGTCAGGCATCGGTGACCCCTGAAAAGATTAGCACCCCTATTCCAAGATGAACCGGAGCCAGATCCAGGGGAACCTATCAGTGCTGTGTCCCAGGGGGCCCTTTGCAGGGGTGGGGTTGTGGGTCCCAGACTCTTCCAGCGGGAAGGAGTCATTTCCCTGCCCTCCCCTCCACTGCCCATCCCTGTAACACTCAGCTTCGGCCCCGGCCCCGGCCAGGTCCCTGTCCACCTCTACCTCCATGTCTAACTCTGGACTGCACGGAGATGGTCGACGGTGGCCCGCGGGCGTCCCACTCTGGTGGCTGTGCTCCGTAAAGTTCTTCACACACGTCTCGGTACATCAGCGGTGGATGCTGTCCCCACTTCCCGTTTACAAAGACGGAAACCGAGGCCCCAGAAACTCTCAGATAGTAACCAGCCCACTGTGAAACAGCAAATGGCAGAATTTGAACCATCACCGGAGACAACAGGGCCCCTGCTCTGAACCACTGGCTGGAAGGCCTTCCTGTAAAAGGCCATTTGTGGATACTTGAGACTCGAGATAAGATGTTAGTTAACTCCTGGCGTGTGTGCCCGGAGTTGCTGCATGTCCCACCTCATCCCCCGGGGGCCAGGTGGTGCTCCAATGGGTAACAGGTACTGTCACCCTCCTCCCCACACCTCTGGGGAGAGCTGCCAGTCTGGGGCCGGTTATTGCCCCCTGCAGGTGCTAATGAGGAGGGAAGTGGAAATAAAGTGAGAAGGAGCAGCTGGGGAGTGGCCAGGAGAAGCTTCCAGAGGCTGAGCCTAGGAATTGGCCCTTCTAATGCAGGCTGGGTTTCCCGGAGAAATTCACTCACCATGACCCAGCGCGCCCTGCGAGACAACAAAACAAACAAACAAACAAACAAAAAACGGTTATGTGGTCTGTCCAGAAGGACTTAAATCAGAGATTTAGGACCTATGCAGAAAGGGTTACTGTTTTTGTTTCTAATGAATAACGCTTGACTTTTATTTAGCAATAAACCCTCAAATCTCTTAATTTCCCTGGGTCCAATAATGCAGATATGAGTAAGGCATTCCCATTACAAAGAAGAAGAAATTGGGCTGGAAAAAGTTAAAGATCACTTTTAGGTGACCTGAACATTTATAAATTTATGTCATTCCCAGACATCAGACCAAATTAGTCCAGGACTGAAATAAACGGAATGTGCTTCCTGCTCCTTTGCATCCATTTCGGGCTCCATTGCCGTGGGTGAGGGGAACAGGGCCATGTGTGTGTATGTGCGCGCGTGCACGCGTGTGCCCTTGCTGAGTCTGCCCTGGGTGTGTGGGTGACCTGGGGCAGGAGAGGGTGAGCGCCCTGCAGGTAGAGAGGAGAAACCACTGGGTGTAAAGTGCGAGGTCAGTGCAAAGTCAAGTTTAGAATGCCTTGAGAAGCCTTTTTGTAAGGTTGCCAAAACCCTGTGCAGTTGCTGCCTCCATCTTGAGGAACGGGCCGGGAAGGGGGTGGCTGGTGTGTGGTTTCTGCTGCCTGTGCCTCCCTGGGAGCTCCCCGCCTCTCCACGACATGCACACCAACTTCACTGTGCCTGTGAAGTGGGCCACCCTTCTAATGAGAAAACAGGGCCTGGGAAGATGGCTTGAGCCAGGGTTAGAGGGTCTGTGCAAGCCCAGGGTTTAGGTGGGAAGCTCAGGGCATGGCCTTAGGCTGTGTGTGTGTGTGTGTGTGTGTGTGTACAGGGGAGGGGAGATGAACTTGTCCAATTTTTACCAATCGTTCTCTGGCTTCGGAGGGTCTTGAGGGGGAGTAGCAGAACAGTGATTCGGAGTTTGGGCTTTTCAGCTAGACAAATCCAGGTTCATTTTCTTGGCTCTGCCACCCGCCAAGAATAAAACCTTAAGCAGGCAATTTAACTTCTAAGCCTCCATTGTCCTCATTTAAGTGGGTTCAATAACACTCCCAAGACATAGGGTGAAGGAGAGGATTCAGGGAGGTGATCCGCAGGAGGTGAGAGCTCAGACAGGAGCTGTGGCTGTTGTTATGTCCGCTGAGACGGCAGGACCCCGCTCACCCTGCTCCCTTCCTATGTCCCCCCCACCCCCCCCGCAGATGTGGAGGTGGACGGACAGAACTGGACCTTTGCTTTTGACTTCTCCTTCCTGAGCCAAAAAGAGGATTTGGAGTGGGCTGAGCTCCGGCTGCAGCTATCCAGCCCTGCAGACCTTTCCCCTGACGTCCCGTTCTCCATTGAGATTTTCCATCAGCCAAAGCTGGAGGCAGATCAGGACCCAGCCAGCTGCCTGAAACGTCTTCGGATGGAACTGTTCACTGTCACTCTGTCCCAGGTTACCTTTTCCTCTGGAAGTATGGTCCTAGAGGTGACCAGGCCACTCTCCAAGTGGCTGAAGCACCCCAGGGAGCTGAAGGAGCAGATGTCCAGTTTGGCTCGAGAGTGCTGGCAGCGGCCTCCAACGCCACCTGTCACCAGTGTGCTGCTCCTGCTCTACTCCAACCTCTCTCCTGAGCAGAGGAGGCTGGGTGGCCCCACCTTGCTGCGGGAAGCCGAGAACTCCTGGAGGGCCCAGGAGGGACAGCTCCTCCGGGAGAGGGGCAGGAGGCACCCTCGACATCCTTTGCCCGACAGAAGCCAACTGTGTCGGAAGGTCAAGTTCCAGGTGGACTTCAACCTGATTGGATGGGGCGCCTGGATCATCTACCCCAAGCAGTACAATGCCTATCGCTGTGAGGGCGAGTGTCCTAACCCCGTGGGGGAGGAGTTCCATCCAACGAACCACGCGTACATCCAGGTGTGGTGCCAAAGCCTGGGGGAGGGCTGGCAGTCTCGGGGAGAAGGGGCTATACTCCAGGTCAGGGGCACGGGACTCCCGCCTTGCTACTAAATGACTGCATTCATTCCTGCACAGTTATCCAGGCACCTTCCAGGGGCCAGGCCAGGGGCCAGGGCCTAGGGATATGGAGAGGACCAGTGATGTCATCCTGAGAAAGCCTCCATGCAGTCGTGCCCCCTGGGTGGCTTTGAACACATTACTTTCCTGGGACTTTGTCCTTGTCTTTCATAAAATTAGGGGTGGAGGGTATAGATTAGAGGGTCTCACCTCCTCCCCAGCCCTGACATTCTAGGAAAGGAAGTTCAGCATCTGGAGTTTAGAAATAGAGAGGCCTGGGTTTGATTCCTACTTACTAGCTGTGCAATATCGATCAACATGCTTACTCTCTCCGGTCCTCAGTTTCCCCACCTGTGAGATGGGGACAGCAGTGCCATATGTCATAGGGAAGTCACAGGGTTAAATGAGGTGCTATGTATACCACATGTACAGGAGTTGGCAGGTAACAGGCATGTCTGATGTTATCGTTACTAGAAGCCTGAGGTTCACTCATGAAATGGGGGCCACATTTATGGGGTTGTAGTTGAGATACTACTATTCTAGCTGCTGTACGTTTGCTGCCTAAAATAGAAAGGCCGCAGGCCACCACCAGGTGCCACCAATCAGCCCAAGTCCTAGAAGACGGTGGAGGGAAAGGAGTGGAAGGAGGAGAAGATGGAGAAAGTAGGGAACAGAGGCTCATCTAGCGGCCTTGATGTTGCAGGCGCCCTGCCCTGCTCTCAAAGGTCGTAAGGGGCCAATGTGTGTTTATTTGCTCCAAGAAGTCTAGGCTGAGAACCCCTTGGTCCTATAGTGCCTCCTCCATGCAGGGTTCAGAGGCTCTGGGGAGCATGTGAGCTGACCCTGCACTGGTGGGGGCCAGCTCCTCAGGGAACCTGGCCTGGGCAAAGGCCCTCACGAACCTCTCCCAACTAACCTGCCTGCAGCAGATCAGAGGGAACCACAGACACCCAGATAGTACCAGTGGCCAACTCAACCTGTCATTGGATCACAGGGACAGAGCCCAGTTCCAGAACTCGGAGGGGTGGCTGCCTTCTCTCCCGTTGACTCTGTCTGCCCTTCTCTGGGCAACGAAGAAAATCCTTCAAGAATGTCCACACGGCTCTTTTCTTGGAACTAAACCAGGAGTTTCTGAGAATATTTTTAAAACTGGTATTCACTCTAGACTATAACAATAGGAAAACATATAAGTTAGCCACCATTCTCCCCAGAAACAGCTTTTAGGACCTTCTGTTTAAAAGATGCTTAAAAAAAAGAGAAAATTATTCAGAAGTTAGAGTTGATGATGTATTGGCATGCTGATTCTTTCTGAAAACAATTTTCCTCTATGTTTACACCCAGAGAGTGATTTAGATTCTATCTTTTACCCTCTACCCAGAAACGACACTATTCTGACCTGCCCGTTGGGGTGCGGACTGACCCCCCCTCTCGCCCCTTTCACAGAGTCTGCTGAAACGGTACCAGCCCCACCGAGTCCCCTCCACCTGCTGTGCCCCCGTGAAGACCAGGCCGCTGAGCATGCTGTATGTGGACAACGGCAGAGTCCTTCTGGACCATCACAGAGACATGATTGTGGAAGAATGTGGGTGCCTTTGAGGAGGTCCTGGAGCGGTGCCGGGTTTGCCTGTACCCTGGGAGGTTGGGAAGCTCCTGAAGGCATGACAACCATCTGATCCCAAGAGGAGAAATAACAGGGGAAAGCTGCTCTGTCCACCGGACCGGAGGAGGACGGGCTGCCCAGCCTGTAAGTGAAGGCCCTGTGGAGTCTGGCTAAACACAGAGGCCGCCGGGAGAGGGAGGAGGAAGCCTGTGCAGCAGCCTCGCTGGGTTTTCTCTTTACTGAACAGACAGTGGCAAGTAAAAGCACTAATGTGAGAGTTCTTTACCTGAGTTTTTTAAACCTGTGAGCCTCCAGAAGTTGTATGCCAAAGTTGGGGCATATGTGTATTTTTGAGATGGGATAAGACTGTCTATAACTTTTATGTATTCTACAAAGTGGTCTTTGACACCCCGACCCCCAAAGATTAAGCATCACCGTGTTACATGGACAAGTTCGGCGCTCTCGCTGCCTCAGGCTGGGTGAGGGGCCCCACACCCTTCTGGCTGGCCAGTTGGGCTCTGTCGGCCTTGTCCAGGCTCCCTGAAGTGTGTCTCTGCTAATGAGTTGTACAAACAATAAAGCTATTGTCTAGTCCTTCTAGGCCAGCTGGTGCCTTTGAAGGGAGAGGCAGGAATGCTTCCATGAGAACTGGCCACACTGCACTGCAGAAGCCAGAGCCCTCAGCCACCCTCCAGATGGTCTGCTTCAGCAGACACAGTCGAGTCTCGTAAGCCTGGTGACGGTTTACCTCCCTCTTAGTGCTCACTGTGCGCGAGGCCCCTCAGCTTCCTGTCTGTAGGGGTGAAGGCCCTGCCCTGCATGGCAGATTTGAGTTACAGTCACAGCTCCGCCACTAAGCTGTGTGACCCTCATCCCTCAGGTGATAATTCACTGCACATCCTCATCCTGAGACACGAAAGCAGGTGGACCTGAATGCATGCCAGTGAAATGTCTGTTGGCAGGCTCAGAAGACTGCCCTCTGGGCTTTATCCACATCTCCCTATAAAGCCTGCTAACCCAGTCCCGCCCCACCCTTTATCAGCTTTTGCTGCTCAGGGTCCGAAGACTAGCTTAATTTCAAATTCCTCATAGCACAGCAAAGGGACCCAAGTTCTCTTACAGGAGGCTCTCCCATCAAACACACAAATCTGTCTTCTGGCTGAAAAGACCCTAAAGGCAGAAATTCTGCATTTCTCTTACCAGCATTGCCAGAATAGGAGAGAGATTATATATATATATATATGGTGTGTGTGCCAGGGCCAGAGGGCCATCTTGTCGGGAGTGCAAATCCACAGTAAATCTGCCCCTGCTTTCCCAAGAAGCCCCCTGACTTGTGCTCCACCCAGCCCTTGGAACATGATCTCGAGTGAGGACACTTGCTGAGTTTAGACATGATTCAACTGCAGCCTTGGTTGCCCAGGAGGGTTGGCTAGGCTGGAGCGAGGACTGGACCTGAGAAACTACAATGCTCTGATTCTGCAAAACAGCTGATCCAGCTGCTCACTTCCTGGAGTGGAACTAGACCTGCCCTAACTACACTTCAGGGTCATGATAGGATTCTGCATCTGACTCTGCTCAGAAAACAGTGGAGCTGGGGAGGCCTGGTGAGGTCAGCTTCCGTCCTACTCTCTTTCCTAAATGAGGCCACCGAGAGGCCCAGGGGCCTGACCACCCAGCTAGGAGTGGCTCTGGTCTCTGGAGCCTCAGGGACACTGTCCTTACTAGTTCTTAGAGGTCTTTGCCCCCTAGTTTTGGGTCAAGGCTGTAGCCTTTGGAATCAGATGTGAATCTCAATTCCACCACCAAACTGAATTTCTTGGGAGAGAAAATCCCATCCTAGAGTCTCAGGGCATCTTTATTAAGTAGGTGCCAAACAGTTCTACAGTTGGGGCCAGGACAGCAAAAGGTCAGGCTATTTGTGGCTACAGCTTGTGGGAGTGCTCAGTTGGCGGCTCTGACAGCACAGACCTCCCTGACAAGGCACTGCCTCCTACCAAGCCAAGAAACTACTTTGCTGACCCCTGCTGAAAGCTTGGGTCTGCTGCCTGGTGGAGGCATTTGGGGCCAAACCTAGGAACGCAGCTCCGTGGTCTGGACCGGGTGTGCTGGTAAATGCTTTGTAAGTCAGAAGGAATATTGCCTCAGAACAGTCCTGCCCTGGCCAGGGGGCCAAGGGGGCTTTTATAGATGTCAGAGGTACCTGTATTTTTCCTTGCTCTGAAGGCAAAGGTCTTCCATTGTTTCTACAGCAGTGCCAAGTCAGTAGGTCAGTGGGAGAAGTGTGCATGACTCTCCTTGGCTGGGGAAGTGGGTGGTGGCTTGGCAGCAGGAAGGAGTGGAGAAACGGAAAAACGAACAAACAGAAATAGGACATACAGCAGTTGGGAGGCAGTTGTTACAGCACTCTCAGGGTTTAAATCAATCTTGTAAAGCCCCCTTTTTATTAGCAGCAAAACCATTATCCCTCTATTCAAAGTTGCCTTTGAGGTTAATATCCTATTTGCCTCTGGGGCAGAGTAAAGGATGTATGAAAGTGCTTTCAAAATTATCGAGCCCCATGTTTCCTAAAGAGATTCTTCAGTCCTTCTGGAGGTCCCACCACCAGATGGGGGCTACTGTCCGCAAGCCTGCTCCACTCCCAAACTTGCACTAGAGGAAAAAGGAGACCCAGCTGACCAAGCTCTGGTGTCGCACCAGCTGAGTTGTGCTTGAGCCCTTGAATAAACTCAATGTACAAGGCACTGGGCTAAGTGCTTCCATGATCTTACCTGAGCCTCACAACCACCTAGGAAAGACAAGGCCGAGAGACTGCCGTTGGTAAGGATGCGGCTACTTCGCAGCAGAGCTGGGAGCAGCCTATCATCCAAAGGCTGTTCACGTCAAGGCTGTCCCAACGGGAACACTTCCCAAGTCCAGTTTTATTCTGTGGACTTGTTTACTGCATCTAAAACACGGAAGGATAGAATTCTTGTTCTCAATACTAATATGCGAGTCTCACTACATTAATAACAGCAAGGAATCTGAAGCTCACGCAGCACAGCCCGGTTTAAGTCATCAGGTAGGATGGATTTCTAGCAAGTGCTCCTGAGAGGCAGCGGCAGCCCTCCTCAGGAAAAGCTGTTAGGGCCCCCTTGAGCCCGGCCCCCAGTTTTCTTGTCCGCCTGGCCCCAGCATATACACCTTCACCTCCAAGCTCCCGAGGGGACACATCACCTTCTTGCACATACAGGGCCCAGGGGACAGCCAGTGCTCCCCAAGTGTCGAGAGCAGACACATGAAGTGGCCAACTGCTTTCACCCACCTCACCAGCCAAGACCCTCAGAATGTGAAACCAACAGGACTTCACCTGTAGTTTAAAAAAATTACATAGAACACCAAGTTAATATTCAAGATCTTTATTGATTTAACTGTAACAGCAACCATTGGTGAGAATTTATTTTTTCCCCTAATTTTCCAAACACCTGCTGGTTTGGAAGGACAGTTAGACAAAAACGAAACAAACAAAACCCCCAAAACAACTGATCACAGAATCACACAGGACTGCCTCAGGGCTGCACGGTGCCCTCTGCCACGGGTGCCCTCTGCCACCGTCCAGGGCAGGGAAGCGGACAGGAGGGATCGGGACGGAGGGAAGATGCAGGAACTGGCGGTCTCCGCTTTTCCATTCAGAACAGAACGGCTGGGGCTGGAGCTGGGCCACTGGTGTCACTAAGACTGGGAAGGGCATTTTTTAACATATAAAACATTTTAAAGATGATTAAAATGGACATCTGAATATGTATGTCCACCAGGCCCTCCAAGCCACGTTCTCTAAGGTTTACCCTTGGGTAGCAGGGTCTCCTCACCGCGGTGGGAAGAGATGGGCCCCACCCCTCCACCCTCAGGCGCAGGCATGGTGCCGGCTCCCTGCACAGCGCACCCCTCGTCTCTGCAGGGTTCCTCCCTGCTCTCCCAGTTCCAAGGGAAAATTACCCTTGGCCGGGACTTGGTTTTTGCTCCCCGCCCCTCTTACGATTAAGATGAACAGGATTATAATGGGGCAAAAATGGATATTCTGTGCTAGATTCATGGAATTCTCTAAGTTTGAAGGATTTAAGAATTCTGGTTTTAAGAACCGACAAGAGCTCCCTTTGCAAATTTCAACGTAGCCAAATGATTCTGCAGCACCTCTTGCTGATAGAAAGGTGGCAGGGTTGGGGTTTAAGTACCCCAGAATGTGTCTTCGTCACGATAGTCTTTCCCATCAGGCGTCCACACAGTGTGGTCTGCTAGGCCGCACGCAGAGGTTAAGCAGAGAGAAACCACCGACCATCCGAAGAGGGCCTTGTAAGACTTCTGAATCTAAGCTTTGCCAAAATGTATCAACTGCCAGGAATAACCCAAAGAAATGTAAATAGAATTCTAGAGCATGAGAAAGGTGACGTAAATGATTGTTTGAAAAAATACACATCCATCATCTTTAGTCTTCAGTAAAAATTTTTGCAACCTAGCCCCATGGAAACTCCAATACTAAACTGGAAAGCCCTTACTAGATCAGGAAACGCCCCCAGGGTCCAAGCATTCTAAAGGACTGAGAGCCAATGCGTCAAACTAGGACTTCTTCCATTAAAAGCTGAGAGGGATGGGGGGACAGGCCCGGGGGCAGGGGCGTATGTGTGGTAACCATGTCCCCTGCCCAAGCACAGACAGAAACTGCCCTCCCAAAGAAACAACGCTTCTTTAAAACAAAACAACTAGTGCCCCATGCCAGAGGCCATGGGTGGGTGATTGGGTTTCGCAGATTAATAAATAGCTGCCTGTATGCATGTAGGCCAGAAACATGCCAAGGGAAAGCTCTGACTCACATAAAGGCACTGGGCCTCCTCTTTGAAGGAAACTGCAACGGGCTGAGGGCTTGGGCTTCAGCAGCCAAGACGCTCAATGCCCCACTGAGGATCCAAGATGGGAGAAGGGAAAAAGGTGCAATTTCTGGGATATTGCTGTCAATACGAGCCCTTACACCAGTGGTCTTGAGTCAAAGCAGGCGCTCAATACACACTGGCTGAGTGCTGGGCTCTGGGGGCGACACCTACGCAGTTTAGCAGGCTGCACTGAAATGGAAATGTCTGAACTGGGAAGGTCAGTACTAACAATCCCAAAGAGCTGGGAACTCAAACGGCAAAAATAAATCACTGTCTATGTTGACTCCACTTTAAAATCAGGAGGAAAGCAAGATTCATTTGAAGGTGCTTTAAAGATGAGTTCCTTACTTCTGGAAGAGATAGCTTTTTACTCACAGCTGCCTCAGTAGCGATGCTTTCATTCAAGCCTACTCTCAAGCAAGCAGGGCTACAGACAAGGAAGTGCTGGTGAGCAGCAGAGTGTAAATCCACACAAGAGCCTACATATTTGAGATGTCGGAACTCTCTAAAGACTTGGCGGGTGTGGGAGCCCAGCCACACAGCAGTCACTGAGAATGTATGTGCCGAACTGACGAGCCTCACCCCTAAGTTTCTCTCAGGGGTGAAGACAAGACCGGTTTTTTGAAAACCCACTTCCACCAGGAAGCCCAGAGTTAACCTGTGCACTGGACTTAAAGGAACCATGAAGCACAGCCATTCCTAATTCCCAGATGTTCCCTACTTTGACAAGTAGCTTCTCGGGTGAAACCTGACCCAAGACGGTTTCGGCTGGGGTAGCTGAAGAACAGGTGTCAGGCATCAACTCTGGTGGATCTGGTCTAGACGCTCCCATCTCTTCCACCCTGAATCTGAACTCTGCAGAAAACAGGGCTACAGACAAGAAAGTGCTGCTAAGAGGCAGAGTGTAAATCCACTCAAGATGCGTTCCTGTACAGCCTCCCTTCAGCTCAGCAACTCAACATCTAATTCGGGTTTGCGCCCTTTGCTGGGCAACCCTGACTCCGATTAGGTCAGCTTTAGTGGATCGGCTACAAGGATCCACTTCCCTTTGTCAATTCCTGGCCAGGAGTGAGAGCATGTAAGTGGTATCGAGTCTTAGAGACACCAAGCCTAGAACTTACAAAGCAGCATCTACGGGCTGCTGGTAGTCAGGCAAGTGTACAGGTATTATGTTCTGGGAACTGCCATATCCAGCCACTCCTCTCAAAATCAGCAGGGAGCTTTCAGGAAAGAAAGTCTATCTTCTATCCCAGTTTGGTGACACACACCTTCGAGAACTGTTTCCAGTAGCAATGTCTCTCTCAACATATCATCTAGTTTAAACCTAACCCCTACTGCCATTGGCTTGGTTTCATCCTGTTAGGGATGAAGCGGTATCCACAAATTCTCTGATATGCTCCATTCAGTAGGTGGGGCCTAATTCCGCCCTTGAGTGCAGGCTGGGCTTAGTGGTTTGCTTCTTAGGAATAAAATAAGGAAGTAAAGGTGTGTACTTTCAGAATGTCAATAAAAGGCACTGCAAATTCCCCCTCATCCTCCCTCCCCCCAGATCACTCACTCAGGGGAAGCCAGCGGCCATGGTGTGTGAACACGCACAATGCCCTACAGAGACCCACATGGGGAGAAACTGAGGCATCCTGCCAACAACCACGAGCTTAGAAAGGGACTGACTGCAGACCCTGACAATATCTTGACTGCAACTTTGAGACTGCAGTGCCAGAACCACAACGCTAAGCTGCTTCTGCATTCCTAACCTATAGAAACTGAGAGATGATATTTGTTCCTTTGAGATTGTAAGGTCGGGGGTAGGTACACAGCAATAGATAACAGAGGCAGAAGGGCAAAACTCTAGGCTTGGAAGCCTAATACCTACAAGCCAGTTTCCCTACAACTGTGCCCTTGAGAATGTGGTAGCTTTTTAATCAGAACGAGGAAGTGGTGAGCTCAGGAAGCCACACTATAAAGAAGGCAGAACCATGACAATGCATGTCGCCTGCTGGAATTTAGAGGAAGATGTCATTTAGCTGAAGATGTACTGTCCCCAGAAATACAGAAACATGGTTTCCTCATTAAAAAAAAAACAAAAAAAAAAACGCTAAGATTTTAAGAACCATCTCACTCAAATGGTACCCTAAGGGTGTTTCCTCCCCAAGAAAAAGCCAGGATAGACAACTCATTTTGGGCTTTATCTCAATTTCCTTCCAAACATCCAGAAGTAAACCACCTACTGGATTCTGGCTTGCCCTGGAAACAATTCTGAGGCATGGCCAAAGGTGTCATCTGCTGAAAGTTTATCTTTTGCCTTGTGAAATCATCTTTAAAACATCAACATATGAAGTCAAAGTATCTCGGGCAGAAACGGCCTCCAGGAAGCGCACTGAGCAAGAAGGAAGCCCTTGCACGGAAGGCGAAGGGGCTGGGCTGCTGCTGTACCATGCAGCCGACACTCCCAAGAGCCCTAGAAACGTAGCTTCTGATTAGGCGGCCATGTGTAGCTTGCTCAAGATGGCCAAAAAAGAAAAAATAAAAAAAAATGGTGTCTTAATACTACTCATGCTGTCATGTTTTAATTCCACTCCCCACTGTTTGGTGAGGGAGCTGAATTTTCGTGCGCAACGATGAAGATCAGGAAGGGGATGCTCTCCTGGCTCACTGACAGACCCACTGGCTGCAGGAGCCAGACTCCACAGGACGCCAAGGCTAGGGGGTGGGGAATAAAAAGCTCCATTCCCACAGGATCATGCTCCCAGGGGACAAAGAGGTCCTGAGCAAGCTTCTTATGCAAAATATAGTGCCATTTGAGATTTTCCAAGAGAATGTAAAGCCAAATTTGGAGTTTAATAATAATCAGAATAGGAATACAGTAAACAAATAGACATAACGTACTTTTCTGATCATTAATTTTTGAGACTGAAAGCATCTCCAAAACTTTGGAGGTCCAGCTTATTCCTGAGAGACATCAACCATCACAAAAGGTCTTACTCTGAACTATTCACATTTCATAGCAGAAAACAGAACAAAGTCCCTCTCACACCCTCTCTCTCATCTAAAATGTATTTGCAAACAGAATCTTTTCAGAGTTCAAAAGAAAAACAGCTTTCTTTCTTAGCCAGTTGGCCTACTACCCTCACCCTGGGTTGTGATCTCTTAATACGAGGGTTCAGGGCATTGAATCCAAATAGGAATTGCCAGGCTACTTGTCTTTCTATGAGGGGACAGAGGCATTAGTCTTTCTGAGCGGGGAGTCACTCTCCCAGGATTACTGTGCCAGTCCATAGTCAGGGGAGCGGCCAGGGAGGGGGAATGACAGAGCGCAGGGTAAGGGACAAGAAGGAGGTGTTCATGTACAACCCACGACAAAGCAGAATGGTCCAGCTGTACAAGCCACACACTACAAATGCCAAACATGCACACCCAAAACTAGAGGGAGGAGAGAGCTGCAGGAGACAAAGGCTGGTCAAAGGGGACAGCAGACTCGCCTACAGACATTCCTCACCTTCCTGACACTGGAAGATGTGATTAAAAAGTTGCTGTTCAAAACTGTACTGAAAACATATCTAAAAATAGGTCTGTAGTCATCTTAAAAAATAAAACGTCACTCCTCAGATAAGAGAAGTGACAGATATTATCAGATACCAACATGTGAGGTATCTTTGATGTGTATTTGAAAAATGGCTGGCAGAGAAAGGGGAAGGAAAGAAGAGGAAGGGAAGGAGGCAGGGAGGAAGGAAAAGAAAGGAAAAATTCGGAGTACAATGGGAAAGGCAAGAAAACGGGGAGGAACACATTTTGAAGCCCATGCTTATCTACTTCAGCAGCCAAATAAAGTAGGTCCACAAAGGAAAAAAGGTTAGTTCTTTCCTAAACTCAAAATAGAAAAAACTACAACCTGAGATAAGCATTACAATAGTCATTGGATTGAAAAATGACCACTGAGACTAGTCATTTAAATGAGTCAATGCTCTTCCAAAATCATTTTTAAGTATCATCTTCAGGATACTTGATCAGGCCTTATCCAAAATGCCTGTCACTTGGTATGGACCTGCTCTGGGAGCAGTGAAATCACCTGGATGCTCAGAGCACACCAGGACGGCAAGCAACATGATGTAAGCAGGGGGGAATGAAAGGAGAGGAAAGAATAGCTGGTTATCGACAACCCCCTTCTCATGCAGAGGGCTTAGAATTTTTTGCACACCTGTGCTAAGGAAAGGAGTGGGAAGATGAACTGTAACACCAAAGACAGAAGGTGGAGGGGAAGCAGAGCTCCGAACAGAGTCACGGGGTAGTACTACCAAGAGCTGCTCAACCTGTGCTGGCCCCAAGGACAAACACCTCAGGGTAAGAGGGACAGTATCTCTCTTCTTGTTTTTCCCCCTCTTGTTTTGAAGACCCCAAACCCAGACTCTTGTAGCACTGAACCGTGGGCTGGAGACAAGGAGGAGAGACACAGGGTAAGAACACAAACAATGCTGAACCCAGACTTCCCTGCTGGCATTTGTTGATAGGTTGGTATTTGATTTGGGATTAAAAAAATTTGGGGGGGTGGGTGGTGTATTTCTCAATATGAAAATGACTTAGGGAAGTCAGAATTCAACTCTTTTCCTTTGTGGACTGCTTAGTTCTACATAAACATGCCATGGGCCTTCCATCTAATCTAATGGGGAAGGGGAACAGGAAACAGGGAGAGGAAATGGTCAGATGAAGCTCATCTTCGCATCATTTGGCACCCAGAGGAAGAGGAGGTGGAGACTGCAACGGGCACCGCTGGTACCGCCTCCTCTGTGTTTTCGTTGTTGATCCTACGGGCCACATCAGGTTTACACAGGTATCAGTGTTGCTGCTGTTCTTCTGATCCTTGCAGGACAGTTAGATGTCCATCTCAAACTGAGCATCATCTCCTGGTTAGAATGAAAAAGATAAGAGGTTTTATCTTTTCAAATGAAAAAGATAAGAAGAAGACAAAAAGGAAAAGCAGAACAGCTTTAATTGTCATTCCTCTGCATGAGGGTCAAAAATTAATTCAAACTGTCCCTTTTTTCTGCTACCTTAAAACAATTATCCTGCTTCACTTTGGCTGGGTTTTTTAATCTGGGGGAAGAAAGAAAGAACAGCTTTTAAATCTCCAATGGGAAGGAGCATCTGAAGAAAAGGATGCTAGTGAAAATTTCCTCAGTGTCCCTTTCTCCACAGGCTGGCAAAGCAGGAGCTCCAGGGCATGCCATCTATCACACTGGCACACTCTGCTGGAGGCTTTGAACTTTGGCCCTGCTTTGAATTGACAAATTGTCCATTAAAAACTCATCTGGAATTTGGGGAGGCAGCGTGCTGGCTCATGTACGTGGGTCACGGAGTGCAACCTGCAGTGGACTTCAGGGGCCGGCTGTTGTTTCCACCTCCCGCTCCTGCTGCCAGAGACAGTGAGGACTCATCACTAAATGTGTGTGTGTAGGGGCTATTTAAATATTGTAGGCAATCTTAGAAAAGAGGGGAAAAAACATACTGCTTTTCCCCACACCATAAAAACGATGAAAATGGGGACTACTGAACGGTTTTGAGGTGTTTGGTATGTGTTCTCCCTAGTCCCATAAAGCCTAAGTTCAAGGAGTCATCTTTGGAATGTACCACTCCCTGATTTTGGATTTTTCCTTTGCACCCAGTAGATGAAGTCTGATTTAAACTTAAGGTTTCCAGAACATTTCAATTCACCTTGGTGAGGGGACTAGGGGGAGGTGGGAATCTTAGAGACATATAACTGAACATTAGTTATAACTGAGGCTTCGGCATTTTTCAACTACAGCTGACTGGCATTCAAATTTCCAGGGCCCCCTCCTTGGTTCCCAGTTCCGGCATTCTCTTACCAACTGCATGCTTCCTATCATGATTGTTCAAGTTGTTCAAATTGTTTACTTCTACTTTGGAGTCTTCGATTAAGGTGCCGGGGCTGGTGACTCCTGGGATGTTGGGTAGACGGCAGGGTGGCGTCTGAGCCATGGGAGAATTGCGACGATCCAACAGGAACTTCCGATCATAAATGATTCGGGTTCCTGGAAAACATCATTGGAAAGAGTTTTAAATAAATTAAGGGGTTATTTTGCAAATCGAGGAAATAGGGCTGGCTCTAACCACCCTGGCCCCTTTGCCATCTGGAATACCTTTTCCTCCTCGCCTTCTGGGGAAACTCCCTGCTTATCCTTCGAGCCTCAGCCCCAACATCGCTTCCTCTACACAGCTCTAGAAAATCATTCTTCCCCCCATCTTACTCAGTGCACATGACCTATTGCAGGACGGTGGTTTATCTGTTTGCCCCTCTAAAGACTGTGAGTTCCTTATGTCAGGGCCAGGGCTTGTTTATGTCTGATGCAGGTCCCACTCATTCAGTAGATCTCCAACAGAGTTTGAAATAAAGTTGGCAGATAGCCACCTTTAGGTTAAAAGCACTGAGATTGACATTCTTCCCAGACAGAGCGGTAGTAGAACATGAAATTGGCAGCCAGTCCCCTATTTCACAAAGGGGTCTGCTTACAAGTAAGTGCTACCAAAATATTTTGTAACAGTTCTGGAGTGCACTTTACCTGATAAACAGTTAAGAAAAACTGCTGCTATCTATTTCTTCTTTCCTGGTCTTCCCAAGGTAGTAATGGCTACAAATAAGACAAAAAACTAAGTGACAATTTAGAGATGCTTGATGATGGCCTAATGCAGTGGATGCCTGGAGCTCCGCTGCCCACTCTCAGACTCCAGTAAGCTCAGGAGGAGAGAATGTGGGGACCATGAGGTGGTGTCTGTCAAACAGGGGAGGAGGGAGGGGCAGTGGCGGACCAGAACGCTAGCCATCCCTGGCCAAATAACAAAGGGAGGTAGTCATGTGAAGGCATCTTGCTCATACTAGGCTTAAATCTAGGGAAGAAAAACCTGATTTAAGGGTTTAGGCTAAAGAGAATGAAAATAAAATTGTGTACAAAGTTACATAGTTTAAAGAGGCAGAATATAAATATTATCTGCTGATCAATGCTTTTAGATTCCAAGTAAAAAGAAAGAATCCTGTCATACTATAACAAGGAGAGTCTGGCTCAGGCAGATTTCCTCAAATAACAGGTGACAGCTATAGCCCAGGAAACAGAAGAATAAGCACAACAGCCAGCTAATCTAGCTGAAATGTGAGTAAGCAAGTGGGAAAAAGCAAGGCATTTACTACCAGAGGAATGACAACTCTGGGGTCTTCCCCAGAAAGGAAGGAAATGAATATTTAATCTAAATAAATAATACCAACATTAAATAAACAGTTGGGAAATGAGCTATAAACTCAGTAATTTTCCTGGGAGTAACAGCTGCAGTGGTGCCGTGATACTTTATGCAAATGCCAGTAAATAATTTCCTCTCCATGAGATGGAAAAGTGTCAAACTAGGTGAGGAAATGGCCAACAGAGACACTACCCTCCACCCCCGACCAGCCTTGCTTTAACAATCAAAATTAAGTACTAGCCACACTCTCTTCTCACTAATACTGCAAATCTGTCCCAGGAAAGAATCACTAAGTCTCAGATTCAGATGGGAATCTATTAGCATATGAAGGCATTTTAAAATAAAAATCTTTAAGACTTTCAAACCAACTCCACAGGTTATCAACTTTCTTTTTTACTGTCTAGTTCTATTGTAACTACACTGCACACAGTCATAGTTATAGTTTATAAGATGTGAAAATAAAATATTTGGCTCTCACCCTCTCTATAATAAATTAAGAAAAATACGGTACCATATTTAGAATCTACCAAGATAGCATTTTTGCAGCTATCTGTATGAGCATCAACAGGGATGCTTGTTAAAAACATTCAAATTGAATTCAAATCCTTGGCATTAGAACCAGGAAATTAATATTTTTTTCAGGTTCCCCAGTCTTGTAGTGTTCCTTAAAGTTAGGAACCCAGCTTCATCCTTCTTCCCAAACCCTAGAAACAGTACTTTGAGACTAGATGAAATATGACAGAATCAGTAAGACAGTGATGGAAGGGGCAATAGAGATCACTTTGATGGATGATGCTGAGACTCAGAAAAGTGGCTTAATCAAGGCCACAAAGCCAACCAGGGCACAATCTGAACTGACGCTGAGGTCTCCTGACTCCCAGTCCAGCCCCTTTCCCGTGCGCCTCAGTCACTATGATCTCCAAGAGTGGAAGCGAGCTGTCAGAAGTGGAGGGGTATACCACTCAGCATAAATAACAGGGTAAACAAGCACAGGTGTGGCAGGCAGTTTATGTAACACAGACCACCAGTCATCTGCCCTAACACACCACTTTTCAAGATCAGGTGAAGGGAAGTGATGGAGGGTGTTTTTGTTTTTCTATACATTTTAGAAATTACTTAATCTCTGTATTTCTTCTTACATGAAAGAGAAATACACAATTTTAAAAATTATGTGAATAGGTAGGTTATATAACCTAAGAAATTTATTTCAGAATACTAAAGGAGCATCACGAACTTTGGTAATAAAAGAAGATGCTGGTAGAGATGCTGATCTCTGAAGGACGGCATGGCGCAAACCAGGCTAACAGCTCTAACTGCTGTTAGCGGGGCTTCTTCACCTATAAGGCTAAAGGATACAGAAAAAGGACAAAACTTCACAAAGGACATCTCTAGGTCTTCTGAGAGTGGGCTAGAATTAGCTTCCTAGTTTGACTGTTAGAAATATTTACACATACAGGCCTGTAGTCCATTTGTGACGGACCATGATCCTAACCTTAGCGGAACAGTTTTGTATGCCTCCCTCCAATGCCTTAGAACACTCAGAAAAACTGGAAATCATTTGCTCCTTATTTAAAAAAGACACAAGTCTTATATCTTGTTTCAAATATAATTTTAGGAGAAGGAATGCAGAAATTTACCTCCAACCTCTTTGCTTTGAAAAATAAGAATTGTAACAACTCAAAAAGGCACCTGGAAATTATGAGTCATTTTAGATGGCAGAGAACAGTTCAACTTTCAAAAAGTGAATAATTCTAAGTAGTTTAGATAAAAAATTTTCTAATATGGATTTAAAATATTTTACTACCTTAAACAGAAAACTATTCAATGCTTTCTTGATGAATCGGGTTATGATTTTGAAAATCACTTTTTTAAAAAGATTTTATTCATTTACTTTTAGAGAGCGGGGAAGGGAAGGAAAAAAAGGGGGAGAGAAACATCAGAGTTGTTGCCTCTCACGTGCCCCCTATTGGGAACCTGGCCTGCAACCCAGGCTTGTGTTCTCACTGGGAATCAAACCAGCAACCCTTTGGTTCACAGGCTTGGACTCAATCCACTGAGCCATACCAGCCAGGTTGGAAAATCATTTTTTAATACTATGTTGTCACTTAGAAAGTCTCAGGGCCTATTCAATTGATGCTCTTTATTTTCCTTACATTGCACAGAATTCAGATTGCCAGGGTTGTGCTCGTACCCCTCCCTCCGCAGTTTGTCTCCTCCCTTACTCTTAGGCTAAGAACTGCCTTTTGCCCAAGCCTTAGTCAGTGTGGGCTGCCATAACAAAACGCCATAGACAGCATAGCTTAAACAGAACCACACGTGTATTCTCTTACAGTTCTTGAGCAATCCAAGATCCAAGGTGGCCGGCATCAACGGTTTCTGCTGAGAGTTCCCCTGTGGGCATGCAGCCAGCCACCTCACCGCACTCTCAAAAGGAGAAGAGGGGGAACAAGCTCTCCAGAGTCTCTTCTTACAGGAACATTAATCCCATCAGGAGGGCTCCACCCTCAAGACCTATTCTAAACCTAATTACTTCTCAAAAGCCCCATCTCCAAATACCCTCACCTAGGGGGCTAGGGCTTCAACATATGAATGGGGAGGGGGATGATTCTATTAATAGCACACCATTCACCCACTGAAACTTAAAACCCCTAATCTGTTGGGTTTGGAAATCAGTGGTCTGCTTTCTAGAAGGATATGTAAAATAAGAGCAAGTGGGCTGAGAGGGGGCCTGATGGCTTTCCAATGAACAGAGAGAAGGGGGGTTAGTGGATGGACTTTGCACATCTGCTATTACCCCTCCACACACACACTTTTGATGTTATCCTTAGGTTTCAGAAGGGCGAGGTTTCACTGTGAAATGCTGTAACATTCAACTTGCAAGTCAGACCAAGATTATTCTCATTTCTGCAATACACCAAGCTTGGAAACTGGAGATGAGTGGTGGAAAAATGCACAAGATAAAAGCTTTCTATTTCTAAATTAAATTTAGCAATAACACATGCACTAAAAAACTGTAAGTGGGCCCTGGCTGGGAGGCTACCTCGGTCGTAGTGTGTCTCATACACCAAAAGGTGGCAGGTTTGATCCCCGGTTGGGGTGCATACAGCAGGTAACCAATGTTTTCACTGTCTCTCGTCCCACCTCCCTTCCTCTCTAAACAAACAAACAAACAAACAAACAAACAAACAAACCATGTCCTATGGTGAGGATTAAAAAAAAAACTAATTGAAATAACTAGGAAGTAATAGAACTATCTATATGTGTGAGATGATATAAGAGAAACTTTGAAGAACTTCTGATTGCAGAGGTGATAGGGTACTTTTTTGCAGCTTTGTTGAGATATAATTCATTCACTCAAAGTGTAGAACTCAATAGTTTTTAGTATATCTACAGAAATGTACAACCATTACCATAATCAGTTTTTAGAACACTGTCATCAACAGAGATAACCTGCGTACATTTAGCAGTCCCTTCTCCTTCTCCTCCAACCTCTTCCAGCCCCAGGAAACCCACTAATCTGTTTTCTGTCTCTAGATTTGCCTATGCTGGACATTTCATATAAATGGAATTATATACTATGGTCTGCCTCTTTCACTTAAGTAATATTTTCAAGTTTCATATGTGTTTAGCACTTATCAGTACTTCATTTCTCTTTTATTGCCAAATATTCCATTGTAGGAATATATCACATTCTATCCATTAATCGTAGACAGACATCTGGGTTGTTTCCACTTTGAATAATGCTGCTTTAAACATTCATGTACAAGTTTTTGTGTGGACAAGTTTTTGTACAGGGTGGGGC